TTTCCCTTTCCTTTCCCTTTCCTTTCCCTTTCCTTTCCCTTTCCTTTCCCTTTCCTTTCCCTTTCCTTTCCCTTTCCTTTCCCTTTCCCTTTCCTTTCCCTTTCCTTTCCTTCTTTTTTTTTTTTTTTTTTTCTCTTTTCAATTAAGCACTTTTAGGAATTTGCTGGATTTCGTGCGCTCTGCGGCAGCAGGGAGCACCCCGGGGTGGAGGGGCAACTGCTCGCTGAAAATTAACAGGAAAGTAGTTAATATTTTTTTGGGGGGAAAAAAAAGAACATAAAAAAGAAGATAAAGCACAAAGTAAGAAATACATCAAAAGTATTTTTGCGTTGTGATAGTTAACCATTTCCCTCTTTCTTTAAAATAAAACTCACGTTTTCCAACAGGATTTGTACCATTTTTATTTGTAAAAATAACCATCTGAATGCATTGCAATAGTAGTTTACAGTTAGGGTTCTTCATTACATTAGTACAGCATTCAGTAGTTGGAAAAGAAAAAGTTAATGAACTGTGCTTGAGAAGATGCAGGTTGGATTCCAAGTCGCTAGTCGCTGGAATAAGTCTTTTTCCTCATTTTGTACATTAACATTTAGTGAAGTCTTATAACTTCAATTTACAAAAGCAAACAATACCGACAAAACCCCATCAAAACCATCAAACAATATTTTATATTGTTTGTTACAAATATGTTATGCAAAATATAACACTGGCACCAGATTCGTATCACCATTGTTTGTAAAGATATATTGCACATGCTAAAGCATAAAATATAAGACAAAACCTACAAAACATGAGATATTGGCCTTAATATATAGATCACTGCATAAGAAACGCATAAAATTACACTTTATACACACACTCAGATTGTCACTATTTTAAAACGCTCCCTCCTATAACACTGATCTAAGGTTTACTTTTTGTGTATAAGAAAGCATTTTCAGCACTGCAAAATTATACATTACTCCTATAGAAATTTAGCCTATTAATTTTCATTTCAATGCAGGTAGAACATATGAAAAGAAGAAACACTTTTTTACATTCAGAGAAGGTTTGAAATGAAAATTTACTGGTAATATATTGCTTTTATAACACTCAAATGAAAAAAAAGACAAGTTTCACAAACCAGTTTCAGAATACACAAATATAAAAAGGCACTCTAATATTTCTTACATGACTAGGAATAAAAATCACAAAATTTTAAAAATTATCTTCAAGATACACAACCAAGTTTCTCAACAGTACAATGGATAAACAATTCGTTTTATGTGTTTGTTCTAATTTAAACATCTGGCAGTTCTTTACTGCGTAAAAGTACCAAACACATCGTGGTGCCCTTTTAGTAGCGATGAACAGAAATCCCCTGAGCTATTTCACAGCAATTTCAGGCAGTCCAGAGGTTGCAGCTCAGTGTCTGTGAGAGAGATCCAGGACCCAGCCCTGCTATGGATTCCACCTGCAACTGTGGTTAAAATTCAAGAGTAAACTGCACTGCTAATGGAGCGGGGGGCAGGCTGGACACCCCTGTTTGGAGCGGGTACGGAAGCAGCCCGTGGACTGTAAATGGTTCCCCTGTAAGTCCATCCACAGGGATGCAAAGTGTAAATCCAGGGTTAAGTGCAACAATTAGGTATGAGTAACTCCACCCTCATAAAAAGTCCACAGAAAGGCAAAATGAGTACTGGCAAGCGTAAAATTATTCCCGTGCTGAAATTCCAAAGTGCTGCCCTAAGTTACAAGTGTATTTCCACACGTGATAAACTACACGACAGATTTGTGTGCTACCATACCAGGAAAGGGATCCTGGTAACGCGTGAGCCCTGCTCTGGGATCAGCCCATGCCCAGCACTCCCAAGGCTCCGACTCGTGAGTTTTCCTCCTAAACCGCCCGTACTCAAGGCATGGCTTTCCCAGCTAGCCTTTAGGGCACTAAACGAATCAAATGATATTCTTCTGTGGTTTCTGGAATATTGCATCCTTCAGTCCCTGTTAGTTTATAGAAAAATGTCAGCAATAGCAGAAGTTCCGGTGGGTTCCTATGAGGATCACAGTAATTCAGGAATCCCCTGTGCTTCTGTCATGTTACACACCTCGAGAAGAGGCAGCAGCTGTACTGCACAATTACCAGAGTTACTTGGTACTGCAAAAATGCAGAAATATTTTCAGTGTCTCTGTATGGTAGCAAGTAAAAAATTTTTTTTTTAATGGCTATTTGAAATAATACATCCTCCCCTTGGTAAATATGACTGTTTTTCTCCGAATGAAGCAATTTCATGTAGGATAGTGCAGCTTTCTATATAGGAGGGTGGACGTCTAACTAACTGCACAGCAGTGCGCCAGCATCTGTAGTTAAAATAAGATTAAAACACTGATCCTGCTGCTAGACCGATGACAGCCACTTCACATATACTCGTTTGACATGCCACCATTCTACACAGAAACCACAAATGCAAAACTTGGGATTTCTCTTCACATCTAAACAGACACCACTGAAAACATCACTCTTCAAAACCTCGTTTTTTCAGTGCTTTAAGAAAGGTGGTTATTGCTATTCTGCAATTCTAGAAAAGCAAAATACTTTGAGAAAAGTCAATCATAAAAATGTTATTCTGAGAATAAAACCAGGGTCTGGATGCTTTGTCATTCTACTGCAGAAAATGTAGGGCTGAGGGGAAAAAAGATGCTCACCTGTAGACACGTTATATCCCTTGTGATGCTTGTGATTCAAACGTCAGAATTTTGCTGATGTTTGAGGAAACAATGCTTAATTTTAACATGGCAAAATAAACTTTAACATATAATTAAATATTTGTTGTAATTAAAGAACTGGAATCTGCCAACAGACTTTTTAAGCAAGTCAGTGGAACAAAACCTGCAACTACACTGAAAGTCCTCCCTGTTCCCTTACCCTGGCAAAAAGCGTGTCCTGCCGCTGCTGCTCAGACCCGGCAGAGACGCGGCCCGCGGGCAGCCGGCGCGGGGATGGCTGCGAGTTCAGCCCTCGCTCCACGCGCCATCACTGCGGTGCCCTTTCTCCGCGGCGCTCTCCCGGGCGCCTCGCGAGGTGCTGCGTCGCTCCCACGTTCTCAATCCATCGGGAGCCCCGTTCTGGGCTCAGCTCTTCACCCAACCTGGCGACTCCATCTCTGCATCGCAGGCAGCAGAGGCCCAGCGGCCTCCCCGTTCCACTCAGGCCCCCGGCCTTGCCTAGATTCACATTTCATTTTGCGTGATGCCAAATAGGATGTACAAAAACTAACACGAAGAACGAGCCGTAGTTATTTTTCCTGGGCATTCGTTTTGTTTCAAATAAATATAGACACATTTACATTAAAAGAATATGAACATTTTCTTTAGTCTGGAAGAAAAGCAAGCGTGGTCAACACATCGGCTACAAATGTCAAGCTGTCAACTTGAAACCTGTGTCATAAAATGTAAAATACTCTCACGACTACTTATTATCTCAAAAGTTTATATTGTTATGGTGTAGAAAAACTACTTCATCCTGTCACATTTGAAGAAAGAAAGGAAAGTAGCGAAGTCCTTTCGTTGCTGAAGCATTTTGGTCCTCTTGGTACAGCTGGTTAGTTCACGATAGGTTTTTGTTTGTTTTTCTGAGTTTGTTTTAAAGTCTCATTCTTCCTTTTGTACATCTGTTGCAGATGAGGGTCGGGGTCCATTCGACCTAGAAACTTTGGCAGAAGGAGCAGACATGTTCACAATGCTGACATTGCTCTAGGAAGCTGGTGACAAAAGGCCTTTTAGTCTGTATCTCCAGGCCCTTGCATGGTGTGTATATAGCTACGTTTTCTTCTGTTTGGTATTTCAACTTTTGGTGTTTCTACGTTTTCACGGCTTTACCTTTGCTCAGATCTGTTAATCCAAACTCTGGCAAAAATATTTTAAATTTGTATTATTTACAGTAAAAGTTATTTAGGAGTAGAGATATTTTTAAAAGTCCCTTTAAGTTGGCAACTCATCGTAAACATTTCGATATACCTCTGTCTACATCTGATTTTTCTTTCTCTGATACTAGATTCTTGGTTAATGGCTCAGGTGACAGAAACTTCTAATGACCCTAATTCTGTAGTGCAAATAAATCATACACGTTTGTGCTGAATTGAAACAAAGAAAGTAAGGGCCAAGTCATTTTACACAGAGATTCCACTAACATCTGTGGGAAAATATGGTGAGACAAGTGGCATTTGGCCTTCCAAATTTTTTTTTCTGTGTGCTGCAACTAAGAATTGCAAAAAGTGCCTTCTGTATGTTTAAGTGCTTAATACATGCAGAATGTAAAAGGTTTCTTTTCCTGTAGAAAAGCAATACAGGCAGTTTTAAGATTTACAACTTTACCTTTGGTTTTGTGTAATAAATTTATCTAATTCACATTGCCCCTGGAACTAGGAAACAGACAAACAGAGGAAAGGGTTGATGGTTGAAATCTATGAAAAACTACACTGGAAATATGTGTGTACTAAAGGTACAGCTAAACACGTAAGTACTTTTTACAAACGATTCCCTGTTTACTTGTGCTGTCACAAAGAAAGAGGCATTTTCTCCTTTTCTACGTAAAATAAGAGGTAGAGACTTTCCATAGGGGCACTTAGGGCCTAAAGAAAACATGAAAAAGTTGAAAAGCTGCAGAACAGTAAATGGGAATGCGTTCCAGTGAATTCCTCCAGGCTTGTTATTTAAAGGCTTGATTCTTACCAATACTGCAAATCTTCCAACACCTATTTGGCAAGAATAATAATGAAGAATATAGCAGTGGGATTTAAGTCTTTTAAAAAAAGACCAAAAAAAGTAAAATTAAATAATAATAAAAAGTTTTGAATGGCAAAAAGTCAAAACGTTTCAGAATCAGAATCATTTTCATTGTACCCATCCTCTGTTCCTACGCTATTACTCAAGGGCTTACTGCAGGAGTTAATGCTACCCATAGCGGAGCCATCGCAGAGGTGTGTCCTGCCCGAATTGTCTTTTTTGGAACAAACCAAGTTGAAAGTCGTCACTGAACTGGAGGGAGAAAAAGGCATCATGGTAGCCAGAATGAGAGCCAGGCAGTCAGCCACGTCTTTGTTAGGAGCGCAAGCCAGGGCTGGCGTGTGACCTGGGCACAAACGCAGACAAGGCAACGGTTAGGACCGGCAGCACGCGCCTCGCACGCGTCCCGGGGCGGCCGCGCGCGTCGCTGCGCTCATGCCGGGCAGCAGAGCAGTGTTACTCAAAATTAGACATGCTGGGGAAAACACGCTGCGTGGAGTATTCAACTGTGACCACAACAAGCACTGTTTTTGTAGAAACAGACAGCAGGACACGCTTCACAGTATGAATAGAAGCACTTGCTAAACACAGGACTACAGCACAAACCGCGTGCTAAATACAGAACACGGGGTATACAGCAACACGGACAGAAACCGGCTTCGGTTTCTGTGCATATGAACGAGTCCCATTCTGAGAACAATGACTTTCATTAGAACATTAAAGGTATTAGTTTAAAAACATTTTGAAGGAATTAACAAAATTTCAAGGGCTGATCAGCTGAGTATCTGCTCAACTCAGAAAGCAATTTGTTTAGGAATTAAGTTGTAAGAGAAAAGAATTAGACTAGAGCATGTGGTACATGTACAGCAGGTATGATTATATGGGCAGTTAGTTATCCAAAATTTATGTTATGAGGACAATGACTGTACTGGGGAAGGACAGCATACATTTTAAATATGAAGTGAATTAATAAAAATCTCAGTAAAGCAAAGTCCCGGGGAGCTGCCTGAGCGTCTTCCCTGCCGTTTAACTCAGCTCCTTTTCGAGGTGACACATCCCGTGCGCTGACCTGCTCCCTGCTCACGTGGCCAGCTGCAGTGTGGGACCCCAGCCCAACCAATGCTCCTGTATGCTAAAAGCCAGCAAGGTCCTTCAGGAACCTCTCAGTCTCAAAGGCTGCACCAGAGCAGTCCGGGGCACAGTGGCTCCTGCCGTCCTCCTGCCTCGGCTTAGGGGAGCTCCGCAGACAAACTCGAGCTTTGCACCAAACTGCCCGCTGCCCGCAGCAGCACGAACTGCAGGGGCTGCATCCTCTAAAGACACTCTCTTCTCCCATGGAGCTACCAATGTGACTATTCTTTAGATAACATTCTACTTAAATTTCTCAGTGATGAAGAAAAATTGAGATGTGTTTCAAGTTGAAATGTAATCGTCTCTTATTACATATAGATACAGTAATTGGATCAAATGCAGAGTTTTAAAGGTAGAACTTGGCTAGAAGCCAGTCTGGTTCCCTTTTTCTGACCCTCTGACAAGATGTGGGGGCAGATGCTTTCAGCAGCACCAATTTCTGCAGGGATGCCTCGCTGCATGTGCGTAGCAGTAAATACTTACCACTTAGGGCTTTCATGCATAGAGCTCAAATGCCTTGCAATAATTGTAAGCATTATTATTGTTTCTGTGCAGCTATGGGAAGATGGAGGTCCTGAATTGTTTCACTAACAATTGAAGGCAGTATTGCAAGAGACAATAGCTTATTTTAGGAAGGCATTTTGAAAAACTTGAGTTACAGAAGC